CTGAAGGCGCGGCGACCCGACACTCGGTATATTTCGACAAGATCGGCCGAGTGGATGACACGCCGGTCTTCGAGCTCGGAAAACTGGAAGTTGGAGATGCTGTAGATGGGCCCGCGATCGTGATTGATGACACGCAGACAATTGTGGTGGTACCTGGTGCGAGGGCTGTGTTGACCAATAGACAGTTAGTTATCATGCTGTGAAGGATGTAGTAAATCGGACGAATTGTATGTGAAGATGCTGTCTTGGATGAGGTAGAGCAGTGATGGATTAGTCGTACCTACAGAAACGTCACCTTCAGTCCCCCACCGTGTGGTTTGCAGGCAGGACAGTCAATGCTGCATGTAAAAAAGTACATGTTTATATCGAAGTGTCACGACATTAGTGTATTCAAAGGAAAAGAAAAAGGAAAAAAGAACAAGCATTAGCGAGGTGAACTCTGGCTTCGGAATTTGTGCTAAAATGCAAAGTAAAAAACCACGGCACCCAGGATTCCCGCGTGGTCCCCCACCGTGGTACTAACTGGGCGGCACTCTGGTTAACTGCGCAGATCGAACGGGATGCGGTGCTTTCAGAGTCCTATGGCCGTGGATAGCACGTACGGTCGACAAAAGGCTTATATGCCATTGATCTGGAACCCACACGCAGTTCTACTACTCGTCTCCACCGACTGTGGCGACGATCGCGAGCTCAGAAGGATTCCGATGCGAGCGGGAATTCTCCTTTACATCATACCCTTTCTGCGTCACACCACGGAGTTGACCAAACCATTGCAAGTCTTTCAAGCCCTGCGATCACGGTCGATGGAGCGTTCGATCTGAATAAAAGGCCATCGACGCAATCACAAGCACTCTAGATAAAAACTACGGCTCGTCTGAGCGTTGAGCGGCACACCAGCCGGATTCGAACTTGCACTCACACAGGAGCATATTTCCTGTCTGCATCTTCGAAGAAACAGATTTCTTGTTTGTTAACGTGACCAGTCGAGTATGATGTCTTGCATACCATGAGGGGATCTTATGCTATGAATGACATGACTGTAGATTCTGATCCCTCATCTCGTGATCCCTGCAATCAAGTAGTCAGTATGTTGCGTTGTCAAACCACTGTCTGCAATGGACAATCACGTTCATGGTATTTGTGTCAAGCAAGTGATATCAGCGATGTTGGGAGCGCGACCACCACAGGATGCCGGACTAATGACCAGATTGGTGGACCACTCGGATGACATTGTTCCTAGCATAAGATTTCTCCAAGATAGAGACTTCATGAGTTGTGACAAAAAGAAACGATACATCAGCAGGAGTCGAACCTGGACTCCCAAAGAGGAGCAGATTTCCTGTCTGCACGCTCGAAGGGAAACAGATTTCTTGTCTGTTACCGTTTCCAGTTGGCTATGGTGTCTTGTTCGCTGTGAGGAGAACCCATTTGATCAACAACATGAGAACGGACCACTAATCGCCCGTCTTGAATGTTCATCCAATCAAGCAGAGTGATTTGCATTTGTGAGCCCATGTCTGCCATCGACGATGACATACGGTTCATTTATCCTTGCGGAGAAAGCAATAGCAGCGATGTTGCGGTTGCAACAAGATTCCATACCAACAATCAGCATTCTTCTCCGAGATTGGGACTTTGTGATTTGTGGCCAAAAAGAAGCAATACACCAGCAGGATTCGAACCCACACTCCCAAAGAGGAGCAGATTTCCTGTCTGCACGCTCGAAGGGAAACAGATTTCTTGTCTGTTACCGGTACCAGTTGGCTATGGTGTCTTGTTCACTGTAAGGAGAGCTCATTTGATCAACGACATGAGAACAGACCACTAATTGCTCATCTTGAATGTTCCTGCAATCAAGCAGAGTGATCTGCATTTGTGAGCCCATGTCTACCATCGATGATGACATACGGTGCATTTCTCCTTGCGGAGAAAGTGATAGCAGCGATGTTGCGGTTGCGACAAAATTCCATAAGAATTGGTGGACCACCCAGATGGCAGATAAGACTTCTCCGAGATTAGGGACTTTGTGATTTGTGGTCAAAAAGAAGCAATACACCAGCAGGATTCGAACCCACACTCCCAAAGAGGAGCAGATTTCCTGTCTGCAACGCTCGAAGGGAAACAGATTTCTTGTCTGTTACTGGTACCAGTTGGCTACGATGTCTTGTTTGCTGTAAGGAGAGCTCATTTGATCAACGACATGAAAATAGACCACTAATCGCTCGTCCTTGAACGTTCCTGCAATCAAGCAGAGTGATTTGCATTTGTGAGCCCATGTCTGCCATCGACGATGACATACGGTGCATTTCTCCTTGTGGAGAAAGCAATAGCAGCAATATTGCGGTTGCAACAAGATTCCATACCAACGATCAGAATTGGTGGACCACCCAGATGGCAGATAAGACTTCTCCGAGATTGGGACTTGTGATTTGTGGCCAAAAAGAAGCAATACACCAGCAGGATTCGAACCCAGCACTCCCAGAGAGGAGCAGATTTCTGTCTGCACGCTCGAAGGGACACAGATTTCTTGTCTGTTACCGGTACCAGTTGGCTATGGTGTCTTGTCCGCTGTAAGGAGAGCTCACTGGCATTTGATCAACGACATGAGAACAGACCACTAGTCCCTCGTCTCGAGTGTTCCTGCGATCAAGCAGCCAGCGATTTGCATTTTCAAGCCACTGTCTACTAAATAGACCATCACAGACAGGGTATTCCGCTTTGTAGAGCAATAGTATAGGTGGTGTTTAGGGATCGGATGCTGCACAGACACAGACGACGATTGTGAACGGGCCGCCCGGGCCGCCCGCTTGTTCGCACGCGCGACACCACCCCCGTGTAGCCATTATTCTCTCCCCCTCCACGTCTCCCCCTCCACGCGATGGGACGACTTCCATCAGGTGAATGGACGCAGGCGGTATTTCTCGGACCTATATATTCCCTCATACACGTTATCTGCACTCATAGAGTCTTGCGAGCCTAGCCCAAGAGCTTTCGAAAAGCCTTCGATCCTTATGGCACAACCGGAACAATCTCTAGGCATTGCCGGAAATTTGGGCTATAACGACGGCTCGACACAAAAGTACCCACGCCTATGTAAAGCAACACCTTTTCGCCGTCGTTGAGAGCCTCCGAGACCGTCGGTTTTCCGCATTTTGCACACCATGGGAAGTTGGAACACGGGGAAGCCGTTTGATGCTTCGTTCCAGCTTCCGGCATTGGTCAGCGCCATTACACTACTTGACCCCATCCGGTCTCAACTTCCTGTCGCCGAGTTTTCGTTCCTCTCAGCGTGTCATACTGCTGAGATGACAGAAGGAAGAATTTCTGAGGCCCTGCACCTTACGGTAAAAATGCAATTCTGTGGATTCCGGAGTGTAGTTGGGACAATGTAGGGGATGGCTGATCATGCCGATGGACCAGAACTCGTCGAATAGTTCTACCACTCAATATTCTTGGGCGAACAATCAGGGACTCCGTACTACGAGAGATCTGCGAGGACACTCAGAAATGTAGTTCGGGGACTGAGAAAGAAAGGACTTCCCTTAGAGCGATGGGTGGTGCCAGTGACCTTTGTTCACTATATGGTGCGTGATTGGTATTTGTGCGTCAGTGATCCAGTTTGTCTTATAGGAAGCATCGGCGTTGTTACAATCCTGCATTAGCTCTGCAAGATAGAGCCGTGCATTCTGTGCTGCAATCTCAAGGCGTCCAGAGAGTCGTTATTAAAGATCCGGCCGGTCCGGTCATTATTGCGTACGGCTATGGCAGGGTCTCTAACAACGTTTGTGCTATTGCTCTACAAAGCGGAATGCTGTCTGTGGTGGTCTATTGGAGGTGATAAGTAGACAGTGGCCTTGCAAATGCAAATCACTGACTGCGTGATCGCAGGAACACTCGAGACGAGGGACTAGTGGTCTGTTCTCATGTCGTTGATCAAATGAGCTCTCCTTACAGTGAACAAGACATCATAGCCCACTGGTACCCGGTAACAGACAAGCAATAATCTGTTTTCCCTTCGAGCGTGCGGACAGGAAATCACTCGAGACTAGGACTAGTGGTCTGTTTTTTCTCCACAAGGAGAAATGCACCGTATGTCATCGTCGATGGCAGACATGGGCTCACAAATGCAAATCACTCTGCTTGATTGCAGGAACGTTCAAGGACGAGCGATTAGTGGTCTATTTCATGTCGTTGATCAAATGAGCTCTCCTTACAGCAAACAAGACATCGTAGCCAACTGGTACCGGTAACAGACAAGAAATCTGTTTCCCTTCGAGCGTTGCAGACAGGAAATCTGCTCCTCTTTGGGAGTGTGGGTTCGAATCCTGCTGGTGTATTGCTTCTTTTTGGCCACAAATCACAAAGTCCTAATCTCGGAGAAGTCTTATCTGCCATCTGGGTGGTCCACCAATTCTGATCGTTGGTATGGAATCTTGTTGCAACCGCAACATCGCTGCTATTACAGTAACATCAAGGAGAAATGCACTGTATGTCATCGTCGATGGTAGACATGGGCTCACAAATGCAAATCACTCTGCTTGATTGCAGGAACGTTCAAGACGAGCAATTAGTGGTATGTTTTCATGTTGTTGATCAAATGAGCTCTCCTTACAGTGAACAAGACACCATAGCCAACTGGTACCGGTAACAGACAAGAAATCTGTTTCCCTTCGAGTGTGCAGACAGGAAATCTGCTCCTCTTTGGGAGTGTGGGTTCGAATCCTGTTGGTGTATTGCTTCTTTTTGACTACAAATCACAATGTCCCAATCTCGGAGAAGTATTATACCAATTCTGATCGTTGGTATGGAATCTTGTTGCAACCGCAACTTCGCTGCTATTACTTTCTTCGCAAGGAGAAATGCACCGTATGTCATCATCGATGGTAGACATGGGCTCACAAATGCAAACCATTCTGCTTGATTGCAGGAACGTTCAATACAAGGGATTAGTGGTTTGATCTCATGTTGTTGATCAAATGGGTTCTCCTTACAGCGAACAAGACACCATAGCCAACTGGTAACGGTAACAGACAAGAAATCTGTTTCCCTTCGAGCGTGCGGACAGGAAATCTGCTCCTCTTTGGGAATGCAGGTTCGACTCCTGCTGGTGTTTGCCGCTTCTTTTTTCTACGCGTCGTGAAGTGCTTGTCTCGTGAGACGTTTACACTCGGGCAGGGATTTCAAGCGGATGTGATCCCCGGTCGTCTCGCCTTGCCCGCGCACCACGCACTCCACGCCACTTTCGCATCCCGACTACTCCACTCTCTCTGTAGCGTCGGCACTCGGAAATGGTAAGTTCGACATGGCGATATTCGCTTGGGATGGGGTGCCGCGCAGCGTACCGTTTTGCGCAACTCCTAGAGAACGAGAAATGGCTCCGCTACGACGAACTGCCGCTCGTCAATTCTCAGTGCCCCTGCCCGCACCTACGTTATCTGTGAGGCTGTGCTTTCAGCGGCCAAAGTCCCCAGCCTGCAGTGGGACTGGATCCCTTGCGTATCTCGCCCACGGATCTCTCAAGCTTCTCGCTTATGCTGCACTCGTACCCATGATCCTAGAGGCCCCAAGCTTCAGGCTTCAAGGTCACACTTTGCCTGTCTCGCTATCGTCTAAGCTTTTCGGTGCGGTTGCTAGCGTTTAACTCGAGCCCTAACATTTCGATAGCAAGCCGCCTCGATACTAACTGAGACTCTAATTATCCTTTTCGCTCTTTCGCGTCTACGTCTTATCCTGCGGACGGCAATCTTACACTCGCGACGAACATGTCTATACCGGGTACAGCGCCCCACGTCCGCGTCCATGAGCGGACCTAGCCGCCTTGAGTTTTACGCGGCGTTCCTCGAGGCCCTTGGTCGTGATGCGGGTGCCAAGGATGACGTCCCAGTGGATGAACCAGGGCTGGGAGAAGTTGTACTTGATGCCGATGGCCTGGTGGTGTATGTCGTGGTATTCGGCCGTGTTGCCGCTGAGGAATTGGAGCGGGTCGAACGGGAGGCGGTAACCGCAGTGGTCGTCGACGGCCTTGCAGGTGGTGAGGACGAAGAAGAGCATCGACTGGCGCAGCGAGAGACCCGTCACGGTGTTGGCGATCATGGCGCCGACCGAGTCGAGCACGAAGCCCTCGACCGGGTGAGTGTAGAGCGTGCCGTAAGCATAGGGCACGTAGAGCCGGTGGTGGACCGAGTGGAAGTGCTTGTAGAGGAACGGGATGCTGTGGAGCGTACGATGGACGACGTACTGCCAACTGTCGAGCACGACCCTGATGCGTTTTCGGTTGAGCTCCGCGAGCGGCGAGGCGGTGAAGAAAAGGTCTCGACAATTGTGACTTACATGGCGGTGAGCAACTGCACGGCGGGGACGAACCACCAGTAGACCATGTAGGCGAGCGGGGCGGCGGCGTCGTCGAAGACGCCGAGCGGGGACATGAGTCTGTGCGCGATGCCGCGCATCTCGGCGGCGTGGTCAGTCTTTCTGGGGATGTCGGCGACCCAGAAGAGGCCGAGGGCGGTCTGGAGGAATTGCATGAAGAGGACGGAGCGGAGGACCTCGAGGCGCGAGGCGCGGTTGCGCGCGGTGACCTCGCTCGATTCGTTTATGCGCATGCGGACGATCCATGGCAAGTTGGACGAGTCGAGGAGGAAGAAGAAGAAAGCGGTGATCCAGTACGCCGGGAGGGGGGACAGGACGGTGAGGATCGAGTCGGAGAGGGGCGGGAAGAGGGAGGGCGCGGGGGAGTAGTAGCGCGGGTGAGAGTGATAGAGGAGGTGGTCTGGAGGGAGTGGAGGGCCTGTGAGGTTGTAATTGAAGACGCTCGACGACATGGCTAGACGTACCGCTCTCAAAAAGCGAGATGGACCTTTTTATCGTTGACGCTTACGAGGACAGGGCCTGGCCTGCGCGGTCTCAATCACGCTTGTGGACCTAGTTGTAGACCTGGAAAGTCGGGTTGTTTCTCCAGACCGGGCCTTGCTACGTATCGCAGCCGATCAATATGAGGGCCTCATGGACGATATCTAATGAATAGATGGCCATCATAGGTATTACCGGTCATCCGTACTTCGCGCGGCGCCCACTGTGGCATCTTAATTCCCCCTTGTGTGGGTTCCTTCGCGAGTCACCGTTTGGCGCAGTAAGTTTCAGGTACTAAAGGGGATGAAGAAGATGGATGGAGATACTACCATCATTGTCACGGCTATTGTTCTGCGATGGCATGCAATGACACGAATGAGAGGATGTGTGACGGCCCACACACAGTCGCAGTTGAGTCTCAATCGTGCTCGAAGTCCAAAGTAAATCAAGACGAGAGAAAGAGGGTGAGGGCAAATTGAAGCAAGGACACAAAGACGCAAGCGCCGAGATGTTGTGTGTGCAAACCGTCCATCATACGAATGTAATTGACATGACGACCTTGACCGAGAGTTGCAGCATGTCGTAATATCATCATCCCGAAAACGCCCACTCGGCCAATTTCAGTTATCATGGGCAACTCGGAGACCTTGTGTCCTTCCGAACTGCATGAACCGCTCTTGTTTCTGTGGAAGACAACATCTGGGGGCGTGGGTGTGGCAAAGAGTGGTTTGAGTTCCTTGCGCACACTGTCAATGCCATGCAATCTTTGACTTACTTGGTGGTTATCCCTGGATCACCGGCTTGAACTTTACAGCCGAACATCAATCAGCGCTCTTATTCAGCAGTGAGGAGTGGCGCGCCACTTTCTCCTTGAAAGCTGAAAGAAAAGATGAAAGAAGGAAACGGTGGCGAAACGTCCCGGCTAAATGATCCAGTAACTCCCTCGAGCTCACAACCCCACCGGCTTCAGAACTCACGCGTCCCTAACTCCTGGACGTTATGGCCCCGGCACAAAGCTCGTTTTGCAATCCGATTACATACCGGCCGATACTCATACATCAGTCGCAAGCTTGTTTGCCTCAAATAGGCGTAATCAGTGCCCCAGAAATCGATCCCCTCTCGCTGACCTCGGCCAGGGACAACGCGACCAAAGCCAATACGCAGACTGAGCTGTAAAGCCACCTTGATCCGATCCAACCCCTGGGTGGGTGATCTGGGACCACGGTAAAAGTTTGCTCTGAGAATGGCAGGCAGATAAGGGACATATTGAAACAGAAGCCACGTAGGCATGAGAAAAGGCATCTCCATCAAGGAATCGGGGCGAGCGCGAAGGCACGTTTAACGCAAAAGGGAGGAGCGCCCCTCTCAGAGCCCCAAAATGACTTAACAGATCCAAAATGCAGAACGTGTTTGAAAATATTTAGACCGACCCGACTGATTGCAAATGTTTGTGCTTATTATTGGCGACCGGCAGCCTTGCTGTATGACCGGCGACGGCGATGAATCGCATCGCGTGCAAGCAATGATATAAACGATGACCTGACAGAACAATATAATCCGGCCACCCGTATCTGCCTCTTTCCCGCCTCCGTAGCCAGCTGTGCAATATGTCAGAAGTTCGCATCGGGACACTCGGCCAATTCTTTCCTCCTGCACCAACCTGGACTGCAAGGGATGTCCCAGACCAGACAGGCAAGACCGTCATCATCACCGGCGGCAACGGCGGCATCGGGAAGGAAACAGCACGAGTGAGCCTGATTCTTTCTTTGCCCCCTCATGGCCCTTTTCACTGAGCAATGGCGTTCGTAGGTGTTGCTATCGAAAGGTGCCAAAGTGTACATCGCTTCGCGCTCGGAGCACAAGTCACAGCAGGCGATCGAAGAGCTCAAGCGGGACACGGGAAAGGACGCTGTCTTCTTCATTAAGCTCGACCTGGCAGACCTCGTCTCTGTCAAGGCCGCCGCCGAGGATTTCATTCGGAGAGAGTCCCAGCTCCATGCGCTCTACAACAACGGGTAAGCAAGCCTCGTCTGCGCTTCCGCTCCGTAACATGCCTCTAAGATACTGCCAAGCGGCGTGTTTGCGCTCATCGATAAATGTACGAGCCAAGGTTACGACATGCAGTTTGGGACCAACGTCTTAGGCATGGACTTTGTTGCCGGCCACCGTCGCGTGCTCATGACAGACACCTGCAGGCCACTTCTACTTTACGAAATTGCTCCTCCCCCTTCTCAGCGCGACCGCAAAGAACTCTCCTCCTCGTTCAGTGCGCGTCATCAATGTCAGTTCATTTGGCCATGAAATGGCACCGCCGGGCGGTATCCAGTGGTCCACCCTTAGGCCTGGAGACGATTGTCTTGCGGTAGGGAAGAAAGTCGGCGCGACCCCGCTATATGGCCAGAGCAAGCTGGTAAGGAAAAGTTATCTTTCGATGTCGGCCGTTTCTAATCCGCCACCGCTACAGGGCAACATCTACTTCTCGAACGAGCTCGCCCGGCGATACGGCGACGAAGGCATCGTGTCCGTGTCTTTGCACCCAGGAAGCATCATCACAGATCTTTCGCGTCACTCGAGTATATTTATGAAGCTTTTCATATGGTTGGTATCATATCCCGTTTCGTACGGGGCAATCACTTCCTTATATGCGGGGACTGCCCCCGCTGCGGGTGACCTGAATGGCAAGGTGGGTATTCCTGCCTCCGGGAATGACCGCGGCAATTCAACTCATATGTTATATTCAGTATCTAACCGCCTTCGCACGCGTCTCGCTGCCGAATGAGAAGGCGCTTAACCCCGGGCTCGAAAAGAAACTGTGGGAATGGTGTGAGGAGCAAGTCGAGGGCATTTAGGGTCCCGGTCTGACTATCTCACCCTCGCACTCATTCTCCTTATCTGTAGCACTGGGAGACAATCCTTGCATAGAACGAGGGGGCAATCCTACAGCCTGAGGGTGGTCGCTCATCAGCGAGGCAGCGCCGCTACGCATCGTAATACATCTATAGCTAATGACCGTCGTGCATTTCCGTATGTGAATCTCTGTTGGGAGGCCTGCAGTGCACCCACTGGCTCAGTGACCTGATTGTTGCTGGATGAAAATGATTCATTTGTATCTGGTGTGCCTTTGTCCTTGTTATCTGCTGCGCGACCTTAACGCCCACTGGGAATGAATAATCCCGCCATTCCCCCTCTCTTCCCCCCACTGAGATATGTCAGAGGTCCGCATCGGGTCTTACAGCCAACTCTTTCCTCCTGAGCCAACCTGGA